CACTGGCCTTGTTGTTAGACAAGCTTTCTAAGGCCCACTTGACTTCACTCTCCAGGATGTCTGGCTCAAGGTCAGTAGCCACATTATCTGAGTGGTCCTGGATATCCAACTCTTTCTGATATAATTCCTCTGTGTATTCTTGCCACCTCTTCTTGATGTCTTCTGCTTCTGTTAGGTCCCTCCCATTTTTGTCCTTTATCATGTCCATCTTTGCACAAAAAGTTCCTTTAATATGTCCAATTTTCCTGAATAGATCTCTGGTTTTTCCTTTTCTATTATTTTCCTGTATTTCTTTGCATTGTTCATTTAAGAAGGCCCTCTTGTCTCTCCTTGCTATTCTTTGGAAGTCTGCATTCAATTTTCTGTAACTTTCCCTATCTCCCTTGCATTTTGTTTCTCTTCTCTGCTATTTGTAAGGCCTCGTTGGACAGCCACTTTGGTTTCTTGCATTTCCCTTTCTTTGGGATGATTTTTGTTGCTGTCTCCTGTACAATGTTATGAGCCTCTATCCAAAGTTCTTCAGGCACTCTGTCCACCAAATCTAGTTCCTTAAATCTGTTCTTCACTTCCACTGTGTATTCAAAAGGGGTTTGGTTTAGATTATACCTTACTAGCCCAGTGGTTTTTCCTACTTCAGTTTAAGCTTGAATTTTGCTATGAGAAGCTGATGATCAGAGCCACAATCAGTTCTAGGTCTTGTTTTTGCTGACTGTATAGAGCTTCTCCATCTTTGGCTGCAGAGAATATAATCAATCTGATTACGGTATTGCCCATCTGGTGATTGCTTTATCTCATTGGAAATTTATACTCTAATACCGCTTGTCAGATTAGACTTTCTTTGGTCAGGCACATATTCAAGCAAATTTTAACAAATAGGGGAGTAAAACAGGGTTGTTTGCTAGCCCCAACATTATTCAACCTTTTTAATCTAGATGGAATACAGGGTCACCCACCCTAAACTCGGACTTTGCCATGTTACCTATATTGCTTTACACTGATGCTGCTGTAATCTTATCTCAGATGTGTCAAGGACTTAAACAATTAATCGACAGATGTGTGGAGTATTTATTAAATAATAAACTCCAACTGAATTACAGGAAATTTAAATTTACGGTTTTTGCCAGTGCATGGAAATTATTCATTTGGAACTTCAAGGAAAATAATATTCAACAGGTTAAAGAAACACACCTGGTTTCTGCATCACAAAGTGGCATTGAATTTTGCTAGGGTGACGGTGCATGGTATTGCCCATTTTCATTTTAACAGAGGCAATTCATATGTGCCAGCAGCTCCTGAAGTGTTTAACGCCAAAATTGTACCTCATGTGTTATATGGCATCCCCATTTGGATTAGTGCTATGGACTGCTGAGTGGAATAGATCCAAGTCTCATTCTTACAGAAAATCGTAGAAATGCCAAGATGTGTCTCTTATGCCACTCTCTATGTCTAGAAGTGGGTCAACGCTTGATAGAGACAAGGGTGTGGTTGAGATGATGAATAAAATTTTTGCTAAGAGTCTGTTATACTTCAGACCAGGACAGTCTGCTTCATCAATTTCTAGACAACACAATTGCCTCCATAGGGTCATCAAATCTGGTTAAGAAAATTAGGTTGAGAGAATCCTTGGTCTTGATGTCCCATTTGGAAGCATATTGAGTGATAAAATGTAGGCTATTGGAAATACAGAGGAATGGCAGAATGCTGCGAATAAAACTTGTTTGCATATGATTCTGAAGATTCCCATCAAATTTGGTCAACCAGCACAGTATCTTTATCTGCTTAATGTTTTAGCATTTAGCAGATAAAGATACTTTTACCCCTGCTAGATGCAATGCCATTCCATTGGCAGTGGTATATGGGAGATTCAGCGGAATTCCATCTAAGAAGTGCTGCTCTTGTGAGCTGGGTGGAATGGTGTCACTTTCTCACATGAGTTTGTATTATCCATTCTATACGATCATTGCAGACAATATTTACACCTCTTTTTGGTAAAGAAGACTGACTGTTCAGATTGTGACACAGTGAGGTGTATTCTGTCAATAGGAGAGTCATTTATAGTAAAGAACATGGTGGCCTTTTTTGAACCCGATAGTGAGGAGCTGTAGACTGAGACATAACGAATGTATAGATCCAGTTAATTTATAGTTTGTTATCATGTGTATGTGATTTTTGTGTATGCCAATAAAGGCTCTGTCTGACAACTAAATAAGAACACTTTATCAGAGTTTCTCACTGTTTGGTTGAAGCACATGATATGCAGAAGGTTCTTCCAAAGATTCTGTTGCTCTTTCAACTGGAGAAAAAGAGGCTCTTAAAACTTCCTTGCATCCAAAATATATCAGTGTTTCTGGGTTATCTGAAGTAGCTTCCTATTAATTGTTGTTCACCAGCTATACCCATGGTGCAAATTAAGAGAATTTGTCAAGGGCTGTGGAAATGTAGCTTTAGATCCTCATTTGGCAATGAAGCTCATATAAAGTCTCTCTAAGGCTGCCTTGTTTTGAGGATAACTTGGGAAAGAGAAGATCCATGTATGCTATTTAAGCAACTTGGAGGAAGGGTGGATAAAAAAGTACTTACTTAATTGCCCCTTCCTATGGAGAGTCTATATTTAATTACCCTTGAAAGAACTTTTGGTTTTGCCTGAGATAGGGTGAAAAATGTGGCTTATGTGAAGAGAACATGAGTTTAACTGTTTTAGGTCAGTTGACTGGAAGTGTGATGATATGAAATGAATAGTCTATGCCTGTTCATTGAAATGTTCTAAAGTTAAATAGGTGAAGATATCTTAGATAAGTATGTGATATAGTGCTCTTCCATGAAATAAGAGTTTTCTATATATGTAGAAAATTACAGTGTCAGACTAAAGAAAAGGATAGACTGAGATCCTTCACCTTCTGGAGGAATACTAAGTAGGCAATGAGAGGATGGTGATCTAAGCTAATGTCATTTTATCGTCCAAAGAGAAATTATATAAATCATTGTGCCCCATACTCTTGTGCTATTCCCTTTGCTCTCAAATAATTATACTTTCTCCCTACTTCCACCCCACCCCCACCCCTGTTGTTAACTTTGCAGATGAGGTCTTGTCTGAAAATTTCCTGGACTACAAAAATCGTGGTGTGAATGGCTCTCACAAAGGTCAGATTGTCTGGAAGATTGATGCCAGCTCTTACTTCATAGAAGGTAAGTATTCTACAGTGGTCAATTATGCTTTGACAAAGCAGGAAAAGGTGACCTCCCAACATTGTTTGAAAATGTTTTATGTACAGCAGTAACAACGGTGACCTTGACTGTATACTTGAGATAAAGCGGTGCTTTATGAACTACTGAAGTATGAATGTATTAGGTGGAACTGGATGAGGGGATTGAAGGAGCAGTCATCAAATTTGCTGATGAAACAAAGCTGGGGGGAATCACAAATACTTTAGAAGATAGACTCAACATTCAGAAGGGTCTAGACAGACTTGAACATTGGGCCCCATCCAATAAGATGCAGTTCAGTGGTGGAAAAAGTAAGGTCCTGCACTTAGGCAGGAGAAATCAGATGCACAGGTACAGGATAGGTGGTACCTGGCTCGACTAGTACCTGTGAAAGGGATTTAGGTGTCCTGGTGGACCACCACCTAAGGATGAGTCAGCAGTGTGCTGCAGCTGCCAAGAAAGCCAACACAGTCATAGGCTACATCAACAGGGGGATAGCATCAAGATCACGGGAAGGGATAGTACAACTCTGTACTGCGCTGGAGAGGCCGTGCTTGGAGTGTTGTGCCTAGTTCACAATACAAAAAAAGATGCTGAGGCCCTGGAAGGGCAGAGAAGAGTAACAAAGATGATAAGGGGACTGGAGGCTAAATCCTATGAAGAACGACTAAAAGAACTAGGTATGTTTAGCTTAACGAAGAGAAGACTGAGGAGAGACATGATAGCAGTCTTCTAATATCTGAAGGGTTGCCACAGGGAAGAGGGCATTGATTTGTTCTCCATTGCACCTGAGGGTAGGACAAGAACCAGTAGGTGGAAACTCGACAGAGGGAGATTCAGCCTGGAAAGAAGGAGGAATTTTCTGACGGTGAGAACCATTAAGCAGTGGAACAGCTTGCCTCCCAATGTTGTGGGTGCCCCATCGCTGGAGGTTTTCAAGAAGAGATGGGACAGCCATCTGTCCAGGATGGTACAGTGGTGCCCCGCTTGACGATTACCCTGCTCCACGACGAAATCGCTTCATGATGACGTTATTGTGATCGCAAAACGATGATTGAATCGGGAAAATCCGTTTTATGATGATCAGTTCCCTGCTTCGTGAACCGATTCTTTGCATTACGATGATCAAAAACAGCTGATTGTTGGGTTTTCAAAATGGTCGCCCGCTGTTTTCCAGACCTATTTCCGAAAGACAGCGACCGAAAATGGCTTCCCCTATGGAGGATCTTCGCTGGACGATGAGGTATTTCGCCCATTGGAACGCATTGAACTGGTTTTCAATGCATTTCAATTGGTTTTATTCTTTCGCTTGACAACGGTATTGCTTAACAGCGATTTTAAAGGAACAGATTATCGTCATCAAGCAAGGCACCACTGTATGAGGTCTCCTGCCTTGGGCAGGAGGTTGAACTAGAAGACCTTCAAGGTCCCTTCCAACCCTATGATGATTCTGTGATTCTATGAAATATATCCAAAATCCTTTTAATAAGGATGAAATTAAGCATGAACTCCTCATTACATCATACAAAGAAAAGGTTTTGCAAAAGTTGCTGATGCTTCTGTTCTTCATGTGGCAATGATTGTGTAGTGGACTTCATATTTTTTATGTATGGAAGAGTCACTACATCTCAATGTTGTTTCTTTCTCTGCTAAAATTCAGAGTGCAGATCTTTGGGGCAAGAATCTTTCTTCCTACCTTTTGTAACTCTGTAAAGTGTCATGTAATTTGATCATAAATAAATAATTACATTAAAATGTAAGGTAAAGGTAAAGGTTCTCCTTGTCAATTAAGTCCAGTTCTGTCTGACTGTAGGGTCCAGTGCTCATCCCTGTTTGTAAGCCGAAGAGCCAGTGTTTGTCCATAGACACTATCCGTGGTTATGTGGCCGGCATAACTATACATGGAATGCAGTTACCTTCCCACTGAGATGGTACCTATACATTTACTCACATTTACATGCTCTCAAACTGCTAGGTTGGAGTTGGGACAAGCAAACGGGAGCTCATCCTGTTGTGCGGATTTGAACTGCCAGCCTTTCTATCAATAGCCCGATGGCTCTGTGGTTTAACCTGCAGTGCCATCCGCATGCCTACATTAAAATGAGTTTAGTGCAAAAAACAAAGAAACAAATGAATGTAAATGTTTTCAACATTATCTCATTTTTGAGATATCCATCATGAGCACATATATGCTAAAGCCTAGCAATTTCAATTCATACCACATTGATACAGAGGCTGCAGGCCACATGGAGACCTCACAAATATTTTTGTTGCCCTGGCCATCCTCTCCTACTGCCTGGAAATGTGGTGTGATATGGTGGTCTTTATAATAAGGCGTGGATGCACTCTTTACCTTGCTTCCCAGCTGATCAGTGCCCCTGGAAGCCTTTATTACTTCCTGACTACTATCCATCATGACAGGAAATCATGACGTACCTGTGATGCCTGTGTCTGCAGTTACCCATTTCCAGAGAGCCCAGGAAAACAAAGAGAGATAGTTCTTCTCTGACACCTTTCCCAACACATATCTTCTGGGAAAAGGAAGTCTGAGATTTAAAGAACTAGTTATTTGATTAATCCTGTAGTGCTAACAAGGATCCTGAATAAAGGCCATAGTATCTCATGCAAACTGTTTATCATTGAGATACATATAGAGACTATGAGATGTTCCTACTCATGGAAGTGGCCCAGGATGCACAATGTTAAGCATTGCTGTTAAAGAGAATCAGTTGTATTCTCAAAGGCTTTCACGACCGGGAGTCAGTTGTATTCTCAAAGGCTTTCACGAGCGGGAGCTGATGGTTGTTGTGGGTTTTTCAGGCTCTTTGGCCATGTTCTGAAGGTTGTTCTTCCTGACGTTTCGCCAGTCTCTGTGGCTGGCCTCTTCAGAGGACTGGAGTAGGAACTCTGTCCATGCTCTGTTGCTGTTTGTTGGATAATTGAGTATTTATAGCTGTGGGAACAGCTATTATCCGTTTAGGGAGATAGGGTGATGATGGTGATCAGCGTGTTTTTGTTGTGGATGTATTGTTGTGATAAAGGGGAGAGATTATCTGTCACTGTGATTGATGGGTGTCTTTAGCTGGTCTTTTATGTGCCATGATCCCTCGTCCTTGTGGCTGGGTAGAGTTTGTTGACCTTTTGGAGGCCATATTTTTCAGTGCTAGGAGCCAGGCCTTGTTCAGTTTTAGACTTTCCTCTTTTTTGTTGCTCTGCTGGTGTTTATGGATTTCAGTGGCTTCTCTGTGCAGTCTTAATATAATGATTGCTGGTGTTGTCCAGTACTTCAGTATTTTGAAACAGAATTTCAAGAGCTTCAACACATGTAATTGGGACATGGAAAATGACAACTATGAATCAACATAAAGGTGAAATCATAAAGCAAGAAATGGTATGTTGAACAATGTAGTACTTGGTGTGAACAAACTAAAGTGGATCAGAATAGAACATTTTCAGACCATTATAAAGTGTTTTATTCTCGATATAATAAAATCATCATAATTATGTGCCTCTACTACTTAGAAAAGATGTAGCACAAACAGTTAGGGTCTAAAATGAAAAGTCTGACTGAATAATATCAGAATTCTTTGAAAAACTATCCACATAACAATCTTTGTAACCAGAAATGCTGAGAAAGAAAGAAAAAAAATCAAAAGCTTTTCTGCAAGTATCTAGGAGAGAATTGATCACATGACAAAATAGGAGGCACAGATAATAGATGATTGAAATACAAAAGCAGAAAATAAAGCAGAACTAAATAATGTTGGAGAATTTGGTCCAGGAGTCAGGAATGAAGCCGCATAGCAATGCACGGAAATTTGTGAAACCAACAACTAAGCAGATGGCTGTACACATGGATGTCATCAGATGGCCAATATAGAACTCAAACAGACTATGTGATTGGAAGTAGTCCTCTCTTTGCGAAGTAAAACTACGGCAAAGAAAGCTAGAAAATTTTATTGCAGGAAAGGGAAAGAAGATAAGATTCATAAATAGTGTCAAATATAGACAGGGTCAAAACGGGGGAATAGGGATACCACAGCTTCAAAAATATATGAAGCTTTACAAATAAACCAAATTATTAAACTTATACAAATTGACGAGACTTGTAAAAATTCTGATTGGGTCAAAATGGAAAGTGAAATGAAAATGGATATAGTAAATAAGTATATTTATACTACTAAAAAAATTGGAAAAGGAGAACAAATACAGAACCCATTCATTTCTGAAACATTACGGATATGGAGAAAACATAATAAAACATTGCTCCCCCCCAGTATCCCCTTTATGTCCCCTCATGGATCACCCAAATTTTAAGTCTAAAGAGAAATATGCACAATTTAAGGAGTGGAAGCAAATTGGAATATATAGAGTTAATGACTTATTCGATTCAGGGGAACCAGTTACTATTAGGCAAATAGAAGAGAAAACAAAGCAAATAAAAAGCAATTGGCTACAAATAAAACAAATAAGTTTCGCTACTCACAACAAAAAACTGGCTTTCTAAGAACATTAACTGAATTTGAACAATATTGTATTCAAAAAGATAAAAATAAAAGAGAGGACTAACCTCACTAATATATAAAAGCATTATTGAGAAAGAATATGGAAAAGGTGGAGGATCTAAAACAGTGTGGGAAACAAATTTAAATATTAATATACCTGAGGAAATTTGGACAGGAATTTGGAAAAAATACCCATATAAATCTATATCAGCAAGTGCAAAAGAAATGGTTCTAAAGGTTATTAATGAAACATTATTGTTATTTTCATTATTCACAGGGGGAAATGAGAAACTAAACTATAAAGAATTAATTGCAAATCTTATAGGCACCGCAAGATTTGAAATCGCTAAAAATTGGAAAAAAGCCCAAGATCTCTCATTGCAAGCATTTACAAGTAAAATATGGCATACAATGCTGATGGAAAAAATGACTAATAAAGTTAGATTACATAGAGGAGAAATAAGCCACAGTCAATTC